AAAACTCAATGGTAATACCTCAACATTAAAGAGAATTTTGTAAAGAACCATAGCACAGTTTTTGACTGTACAAATACTATGTAATATGGTACTCATCCGATTTTTGTATATCACTATCAGTTAGTGAGGAAATCTACTATATGACAAACAAGTAGATCAATTTAATGAAATACAGTTTCGTTTTACGGTCCTTTAGAATCGGAAGAGAGGCGAGGACAAGAGTACGAAAGAAAAAATATGACGGTGACTAACGGAGAAAGAAGCTGACTCTGTGAGGGGCCTAGTGTGGGGGGTCAGGGGTGTCAAAAAGAAAAACAGAAAAAAAAAGTTTAACCCAGTACAGGTAATAAATAAGAAATTTTGTGAGGACAGCACAAGGTTCTAGATGATAGTAAAATTCTGATAAGTGTGTTATATAGGAGAACAAACACACGCACTTATATACGGGGTGATAGGTAACGGTAATATTTCTAGAAAATATTGTGTAAGGTTCAATTTTTGAAGTGAAACTTCTATAGCCGCGTAGTGGAAATCTAGTGGTAAGTAAAACCGGCTGATGCAGCACAAAAGTGTCCATCCAATTCTTGTCGGCGAGGGGAGAGAGGGAACGGGGCACAGGAGTAGCACACATGAACATCAGAGTAACTGTGTGGCTGCGAAAGAGAGAGAGCAAGCACACGCGTCTACAGAAATAGGTATATACTTATTGAGAAACCAATGTATTATATAGCAGAAAGTCGGAGCGTGTGTATGTATGTGTGCATATATGTAGAAACTCTCTCTGTATAGGAGACTTGTGAAGCTGGCACCTGTACATATTAAATATTATTATTTTGCAACCATTTGGGGCTTCAACGATTCCTCCTTACTTGCGAATTTATTCTTCTCTTGAATTTTCATTTGTAGATAAATAGTTCGCGAGATATTTGTCAAATAAAAAGTCGAAAAAAAAAGTATCAGCGCAGAAATATGAGAACTTTAGTTCTAAGTACTAATTTAGATTAAAATCTAATTCTATCTGAACAATTCGATTCTTCGTAATTTGCAGATTACGGAGGTGCATAAATTGATGTAATTAAATGTAACAAAANCCGCCCCGAAACAGCCGGGGTTTCATAGGAACTTTTCCCGATGAAAACAGTTTTTGAAAAAAAATCTGCATTCACCCGCAATCGAACCCACGACCCCTAGAACTGCGTTGTATCAGTAACAAGCACACTTACCACTGAGCCAACGCCGCTCCTATTTCTAGAAAATATTGTGTAAGGTTCAATTTTTGAAGTGAAACTTCTATAGCCGCGTAGTGGAAATCTAGTGGTAAGTAAAACCGGCTGATGCAGCACAAAAGTGTCCATCCAATTCTTGTCGGCGAGGGGAGAGAGGGAACGGGGCACAGGAGTAGCACACATGAACATCAGAGTAACTGTGTGGCTGCGAAAGAGAGAGAGCAAGCACACGCGTCTACAGAAATAGGTATATACTTATTGAGAAACCAATGTATTATATAGCAGAAAGTCGGAGCGTGTGTATGTATGTGTGCATATATGTAGAAACTCTCTCTGTATAGGAGACTTGTGAAGCTGGCACCTGTACATATTAAATATTATTATTTTGCAACCATTTGGGGCTTCAACGATTCCTCCTTACTTGCGAATTTATTCTTCTCTTGAATTTTCATTTGTAGATAAATAGTTCGCGAGATATTTGTCAAATAAAAAGTCGAAAAAAAAAGTATCAGCGCAGAAATATGAGAACTTTAGTTCTAAGTACTAATTTAGATTAAAATCTAATTCTATCTGAACAATTCGATTCTTCGTAATTTGCAGATTACGGAGGTGCATAAATTGATGTAATTAAATGTAACAAAATTTGTAAATAATGAATTTAATTACTAAGTTAGAAAATCTAGTAAAGAAAAAAGTAATTTGTTTACGTTTTTTCCTTCATTCTTTTTTAATTCGTTAAGAAAACAGTGGGTTCAGAATTAAGGAATTTACAGAGTATTTTTTAATTTAAGGACGTTCGGTAGAGATAGAACCCTGTGATGAATCTTTTTGAAATTTAAACCCGACGTTTTTATTGTTGTTACAGTGGAGCTGTTAAAATTTAAAAAGGTTCGTCTGTTTCGTTTCCAAGATACTGAATTTCAAAGTTCAGTCATTTTAACACAGTCGCTTACGGGAAAGCTTATAAGAACTCAGTTTAAAAAAAATTAGCATGATAAATGTCTCCAATTTTTTTATATGTCACAAATAATGTTATTAACTATATGTACACCAAGTTTTGTGACGATCGTCTGATTTGTTTATGAATAAAAAAATTAAATAATAGTTCGACAAAAATGCAACCGCAACATCGCAAGAAGCGGGAAATTCAAAATGTTCCAGGACGTAAATCAGTAAATATTTGAATATTATGGTAGATATTTATGTATTTCTGTATAAAACATAAGTGTGTGAGTGTATGTACATAGGTTCCACCCTTATCTATAACAAAACAATGTATTAGAATAAAACATTTTCTTAGTAAAATTTTTAATTTGTAATTTTTATACAACACAATTTTTTTTACATAAGATAACAAAATCACATGCTTGTAGTAATCGCAGAGACTAGAGTCTGTCCTAATTATTTAACATATCACTTACAATGTGACTTTTCAAGTCACATACAAATTCAAGAATTTTATTTACATTAGCTTCTCTTTTGATAAAAGGATTTTGTTCATTTAATAAAAACGATTTTAAACTAGCGTCACCTTCCATAAATTTATCAACAACTACGTTAAAATCTACTTTATTTTGACTAAGATTTTTTATAACTGATTTCGGAATGATAGACGACATAGGGAAAAAGGTAGGTAAATATATTTTTTCATCAGCGATTTTTTGAATCTTCGTAAGTACATCATTGTTAATTATTTACCTTTTTTTATTACATTGTTATAACGAATAAAAATCAAATACTTACATCTTTAGCACAAATACATTATAAATATACACATACGCTGCCGTAACCGACGCAGCAGACAGTGCAGAGTACACACCACCTAAACCTGATGTGTGTTGTATTTGTGTGTATGTGAACACTCACACATTGGAGACTCCTGCGGCGATGCCAAGTCTTCACTCATCGCTACTTCCCCCTTGCCCCGCAAGTGGTTTCCCACCGCTATCTCTACCGAACGTCTTTAATTTTTGGGAATAAAAATATGAACGTAAGAACACGTGAGTTTCAAAATACCTAGTAAAAGCATAGCTCTTGTCACCGTAAATAAAACTACATGTAATAAATGGGAATAAAATCAACAGAAACAATGATAAATAACTATAACAATATGTATACAAAGGTAAGAATATGTGAGTTCAGAAATACATAAAAAGAGCATATCTTTTGTCATTAAAAATTCAATTGTATGTAATAAGTATAAATAAAATAGGACTCTACGATAAAAAATTTATTTTTAAAGTACTTTAATTTAAGAAATACGTTAGGTGTATTTCTCATTGGTAGGGACGTGTGGCTCAATGACTCATTCAAAATGTTTTTTTTTTCATACGATTTCTAAAATACCGAGTTGAATAACTCACTAGTTGAAAGTTTCACCTCTGCCCGGGGTCCCGAGATCCACACCTGGTTTTTGTATCACTAGTGTTATTTTATACAAATTTAAATTTATTTGAACGTTTAACAGTTCTAAATTAATTAATTTTTTTTAGTAAATATACTGTTTCTAGAATTATGGTTAAAAAGTTAAAAAAAATTTCCATCACTATAACTTTTTAATAAAAGAGGATTTTATTGCCACTGTACCGTTATTCATGAGTTTATGGAAAGCAAGAAAAAATGTATTTGACATTAGTAAATGCTATTTCTTGCAAACTAAAATAACCTGCAGTTTTACACACTATTAGTGAAAGTCACAATTTGAGAAATGATAAATAAATATAATGAGCAAATTTTTCAAGTATATTAGAAGATAAACACAAAATTAGTAAAAGCACTTTTATGTTAATGATAAGTCACATAGGATTTTTTTTAATGTTTAAAATTCAACGATTGCTTACAGAAGAATATGAAGGATATGGTCCACTGTAGCCAGGCATTGGATAGTTGGAAATTGAATTGGAATACGAATAATTTGGATATTGAACATCAGCTGAAACAAACACGTTCGACACAATAGGCTGAGGCGGTTGTGGATACCCTGATTGTGCCAATACGTGTGGCATTGGCATGACAGCTGAAACATTATTTCACATATAAATGATGCATGTATTTGAAAAAGAATCAAGTCTGAATTAGTTTACAATATCTTACATTGTTTTGGATAAGGAATAGAATTTACAAGCTGATGCGGCATCACTGGATCTGCTTTAGGTTTTGCAAATACAGGTGGATGGTCTCCAAAAATAATTATCATAACTTGAATTAAACTCTCCAAATCTGATTTATGCTTCAACAGACATAAGAATACAAATTTTATCTAATGTTATGGAATAAAATTTTAGATGGCAACACTTAACATAATCAAATGATACGAATTCATTCATACGTATTAAAACAATTATTTTTTATCTTAATCTAAAAAAATATCTAACATAATAAGGTATTATATCTCACAATCATAAATTTACAGCTAAAACAACTTATAATCATATGCACGAAGCGTAAACAACTAATTACCAGAATCAATTTAGAATGATCCCAGCACAGCCTGATAAAATATCTTATCTTCGTGCCTAATTGGCCTACAGTAAAACTTGTTAAAAGTATTTGAAAATCTGTTATCCGACCAGCCAGTCACATTTTTTATAATATTAACCTTGATTTCCTGTGCAAAAGCCTTAAAAGAAGAAGCATGCATCATCAAGTGGGTTGAGTTGACTTCATTAACACTAGTTTCTTTCAGCACAGCCTTGATCAACCGACTAATATTATTGGAGCTGACTGCCACGTATAGCGGCTTGAACGAGATTAACAATTGTCTTGTTACTTTGAAACTTATTTGATGCTTCAGTAGAACCTCTCAACGTATTAGCCGCAAAGAAAGCCTTGTTAGAAAAGGGTATAAAACAAGCACATGGCTAGTTAGCTGATGGGATCCTGATTTCGACTTTCTTATCTACAACTTATACGTTGTTTAAAGTAATCAGGTCAAGAGAATGTACTGTAAATGCGGAGCCCAAAAATCGTGAAAGCTAATCAACGATATTGCTGCTCTGATAGCCAGCAATGACCTAAATACTTCTCCTTCCTCAAACTTTTTCGTGAGAAAACTGAGCAACATTTTTAAGTCCATTGTAAATGGATCCTTAGCTTACTTTTGACAAAGACTCCACGAATACTTTAAAGTGATTTTATACTGTTTTAAGGTGCTCCAGGCAACCGAAGCTAACATAGCGGCAACCGTGTCAAGTAGTAAGCCTTGTCGTTCACAGGCCTGTCTGACATAATCCCTGCAATTTTGAAAAAGGGATGCTGACAAAGAATGCTTGATTTTCCTGCAAGGAGATACAAGAAAATTCTTATGAGGCTTCTACACAATAGGCTTGTTCACGAGGAAATGCTTAAATTCTGGATACTACAGTTGGGAAGGCCAATAGGGCCTAATCAGAAAACCCCGAGAAATCTCATGCGTTACCTTCATAAAAATATTAGCTGCGCATGCAAATGATGGAAAAGCATAGCAGAAAAAATTGGACTAGGAAATTGCGAAGGCTTTGATCATCCAGTCCACCAGATCTCAATCGCAACAACAGTACCTCCTGCACTTACTATTGACTCTTGAAGAGAATAAATCCACTGCTGGATTTTCCATTTTTTGACTAACTTTTTAAAATGCACTATCAACCAATTCCTTGTATACATCCAAACCAGAGATTCTGGATCCCTTGTCCACAGAATTATTTTCTGACGTCACATATTCTGCAAATAGCCATTTTCTCCATTAAATGTACCAAAGCCAAAGATTTTTGGTTAGATCATCGAGCGTTTGGTCTTTAGCGGATATAACCTATTTTGCTAATGTATACTAGAGTGGTTAGATTATTTATCAATTCTTAGAAAAATTTGAATATCACAGAATGATTCATTGAAATATTTGAGATCCAGTAAAGCTAATTTAATATAAGATAATTAAAATGCATTGCACGCTTTCTGCTTCCAACGAAAATCAAGGGCTCCTGATTACTACACAAAATCAAATGATCTAATGCAGTTGAATAGAGAACCTACATGGGCTCGCCACCATGAAAAATCTTCCACTACCTCAGATGACAAATTTACTAGCAATCTCTTCTTATGACGATAAATAAGCCTTTTGTTTTAAACACTTTCAGTGCTTATTAAATAATCAGCCATAAGCTACGGCCGGACACCCCACCACTAAAATTTTAATGAAACTAGATAAATCTTCTTAACTGAGGGCTTTAATTGACATAATACTATCGAAAAAACTAGCAATACCTTGCTTCTTTTATGGTAAAACACAAAGTATGTTGTGGGAGTTAATGACTATGCCCAAAAAGATTATTTATTACCTAAGGGTTGACTCACTTTTGACTCGATTAATGATGCAGCCGAGCAATTCCAAAAGGAAGGCAAGCCGTTTATAATTTCTCATATATTCTCTTAAAGAACTCCCAAAAACTGAAAAATCGTCCAGATAAGCTAGAACTTTAATATTCTCTCCTCCTAACCTTTTTAATATTGGTTTGCCGATTTTTGTAAGCAGGCAGGAAGCAGAAGTTAAACCGAAAAGTAAGTATCTGAACTCAGAAATATCTTTATAAAAAACAAATTTAAAATATATTCTGCGATTCTATTGAACAGCCTTTTCCATTTCATATATATTTAGATTATTTTTTGTCAACAGCACGTCCACTAAGGTAAGATATCCTTTGTAAGTGAAAAAGTACATAAAACATACAGCGTATGTGGGCTTGTCCACTGAGAGTGGGACACCTTGTAAGCGCGGGATTTTTTTCGCCCGAACACGCTGGGTTCAACTCGCTCATAATAGCTGAGAGATAGATAAAAAAATTATTAAAAAATGCTAATCGACATATTTTAATCTGCTCTTACCGATAGTGCTATTTTTTTCTCAAGACCATTTTTCCACGGAGTGGAATCATTCAAAAGTGTGTAGTATTCAACAGCTTAAAGCAATCAATATTAACTGAATTCAAGTTGGACACTTGGCTAACACTTTCAAAATTTACATAAGCCCCAACTAGTACAACATTAAGGCCCATCACGCACAAATTCAATAAGACAAAACATAAAAAAACTAGGGGAATGGGATGAATATCAGTAGAAGTAATCAAAGTAGCTTAAAATGTACTTTTTTATTAAACATCAGTTGGGTGTGCCCGACATCCTGGCTGATATTTTTAAAAAAGTATAGTACATAAATACATTTTACACTATTATTCTGCTCATTCCTGCTGGTATTCCTTACATTTCTGTCATTTTTTTTATTCATTGCTCTTCTTGCGTTTGGGTGTAAAAGGACTTGTATATGGGATTGTCCACTGAGAGTGGGACACCTTGTAAGCGCGGGATTTTTTTCGCCCGAACACGCTGGGTTCAACTCGCTCATAATAGCTGAGAGATAGATAAAAAAATTATTAAAAAATACTAATCGACATATTTTAATCTGCTCTTACCGATAGTGCTATTTTTTTTCTCAAAACCATTTTTCCACGGAGTAAAATGAGTCAAAAGTTTAGGACGTTTCTCTGAAATTCGTCATAGTTTAAAAAAATAAAATTTGCAGAAATCGAAAGAGCAATGCTAAAACATTAACTCCACAAATTTTATAAGTAGGAAAGTAAAAAATGCATGAATTACAAGCAAATGAAGACGTTGACATGAGCAAGGCAGCGCGGCATGCAGTTGTCGCCTGCACCACGCCGCACTACGTTCCAAAACGCTGATATCGGAGGTCACTTTGTCATAAATCAAATATCTTAATAACGAAAAAAGGTAGAGGTCTAATTTTATTTTTTTTTTTAATTTATAGGTGGTCAAATTGTGAATTAGGGAAAATTATTGCAGATTCCGTAAAATCATAACATAACCTCAAAATTTTATGATTTCTGAGAATTTTTTAAGGAATGAGCAAGAATAGTGAGGCGACCAGGTAGGTATCCGTAAGACCACCAAAGCTTATTCTACGTTTTTTTACCTCCTAAACAAGATTCTGTAGGGTGCGAGCCCGAAAAAGTCTGGAGTGATTGTTATTAACAATTTACATAAATAAATAAAAAAATTTCACGTTCTTGACCGTAAAAAAAATTTAATAGATCATCTGGGTCATTTCGAACAAAAAATCTTGGATGTTTTACGAAAAATGCTTTGATTTTGCAAAAAAAAATTATAAATGTTGCAAAATCACTGAATTCGATGACTTCTCGGTACGCACTCGTCATTTTGCCCAGATCTCTGAAGATATGTTATTTTTCATTATCTTGTTTACATAGGATTATGCATCTTGAGCTCCTGAATTCAATTCTTTCAGGTGCGAATCTCTAGTAGTGCCGGGAAAATGTGTGTTTGTTATAAAAGCGGGGTACATTGCGGTGTTGGGGCCTTTGCCAGTTTGACTTACGTGTGAGCCATTTGCTCGATACGTTAAATAAATTGTCTTTCACAGTTTAAATTAAGGTAATTTATTTGTCAGTTCTACATTATTTGTATCTGTTGTTTATATTAGTCTTTGTAATAATTTATTATTGTTAATAAAGCCTGAAGAGGTCGACACACCAGTCGACGAAACGTTGCTTAAACTAATTGTTTTCATTTGCCCCAGAATATCAACGAAATAAACTGATATAAAAAAATCATGTTAATGGCATGGACTGGCATAGCATCAGTTTTGCTTACAAAGGGGATGACGAGTCATAGAACTTTTAGACTTCCTTCAGATCTCAATAATATAGAGATTGCCTCTTTAGAATTCGAGTCAGATAAAAAAAAATTAAGATAAGTTGATTCAATGAAATGGGATGAAGCTTCAATGATTCCGAAATAAGGTGAATGTCCCTACCACGGAACGAATTTTGGTTTCGATTTACCTTTATTACAGATAAAAAATTTTTTTTAACGTTTAATCATAAAATTTCGATCAATAATGGTGGGTTATCTGTTTTTGAACGTAGGTTGCTATTTTGTACCAAAATTTGAGCAGAATAAAAAAATTCATGTGATGAATTAGATGGTGATCAAAATGTACATTAAGCGGAACGTCTGCAGTAGTTAGGCAGCACTGTTCCGCAGTCATTGTCCCTATCGCGGAACATGACTTGAAATCAATATACATAGAACTTTCAAATTATTTATGAGTAATTTAAAGGTAATAATAAATGAGAGGGGGTAAGACAAGGTAAAATAAATATGATTTACTTTTTATTTCATAAATTTCGTAATTACTTCTTTTTATGACTTAAAATT